CTCCGTCTAATGCTCTCCCACCTGTGGGATCCCCACTTGGATCAGACCAAACCCCACGCCCAAGAGAAAACACTGGAAGTACGGCGAACTTGGGAGAAGAAGGAACACAAGGGGTGGTGTTGGCCTTGATGCAGATGGTGGCGAATATGAACAAAGACATGATGGAGGAGAGAAGACGTAGGGAGGAATGGGAACAGAGAAGAGAAAGGGATACAGTGGGCGGGATTGCAGAAGGGATATCAGAAGGGGTGAGGTACGCCATGGGACGGCAAACTTCGGCGACCCCAAGCGTAGTGGGCGAACAACGGAAAGGGATAAAGCTACCTAACCCAGACCTATGGAGAGGAGATCGGAACAAGTTAACCGCCTTTCTGTCTGAGTGCGACGTACACTTCGAATTGAACTCTCATCTTTTCCCCGACGACACTAAGAAAGTCTTTTTCATGATCTCTCATCTACGCGAAACACCTCTTCTTGCAGTGCAGCCCGATCTATCCAAAAGACCTCTTCCTGAGTACCTCACGACACACGATCAGTTCGTTAAGTACCTCAAGACTAACTTTGGTGATCCAGACGAAGAAGGAACTGCGGCCCGACAACTTAACGACCTCAAGCAAACCGGGTCTGCTTCGGACTACTTCTCCGCCTTTCAGCGACATGTTGCGATCCTCAAGTGGTCTGATGATGGAAACCTAGTTGACCGAGCCAAGAAAGGACTAAAATCGCACCTTCTAGATGAAATCGCAAGACACGGTAGATCGTTTGGGACTGTAAAAGAGCTATTGGAGTTTGTGATTCCCTTGGACAACCGCCTGTGGAGGAGACAAGTGGAGAAGGAGGCAGAGAGGAAAAGGGAAGGAGGGATAAGGACAACGACAGTGGTGGAAAGTCAGAGGACGGAGAAGAAAGAAGAGAAGAAATGGGAAAAGGGGCAACCTTCGGCGCAGGGTGGTGCCCAGGCGGCTATGATGTCGACGGTGGTAAAGAGTACACCGCCAAACATCGACGAAGTTCGCCGAAGATGGCCTAGGCCGAGCTCCGATCTGAGGGAGACAAGGAGGAAGGAGGGGAAGTGTACCGAGTGTGGTGAAGCAGGACATTGGCTGAAGGAATGCCCTGTAAGGGAGGCTAAGGTTAAGGTTGGACTGTTGCCTCCATGGGGGGAGAAGTTCGGAGAACGTGGTGGAGGATCGGGAGGGAACGCAGTACCTCTCGGACAGAGGAGGAACTTGAATGCGGTTGGAGGAGAAGTAGATTTGGAAGAGGACCAGGGAAAAGAAGAGGACCTGTCGCAGTAGGCGAGGCTCGGCGGGTCCGCCATATTCTCTCGGCCACCATTCCCAAACCCATAAAAGAAACACAGCTGATGGAGCCAGAGGATTGTGAATACAAAAATACACCACTCAGTACCCCTTGTTCATGCAATGTCGATAATCATCTCCTCATCCCTTCCGTTTCCAGAGATCAACCTAAATCGGACATTTTCATTAATGGAATGAAGCTAACTACGCTCTGGGACACCGGGGCTACTTGTTCATATATAAGTCCTAGAGCGGCGACGAAGATAGGCGCAGAAAGGAGACAATATCAGGTGAGCGTACCCGTTCACATGTTCGACGGCTCGGTGAGTGTCGCTGGACCCATCACCGAGTTTGTCGAAGTCGGATTTAGTTTGACGAAGGACGCCGAAGTGCGATCTGTTTGTCTCGATGTAACAACGCTCTGCGACGCAGATGTTGTGATAGGGTGGGATTGGATGAGGAAGGAGGGGGTTGTCCTTGATGGAAGAGACAACTCGGTGAAATTTCCCATCCCAACCCCACCAAGTGCGGCGAAGTTAGCGGCCATAGGGCTGCCAACTCTGACGGACGCGATAGACCGCCGCGGCGAAGATGAGCTTGAAGAGCTGAGCCCGGAGGAACAAGACGAGTTGTTCCAGGTAGTTCCTGAACAATACCACCAGTACATTGACGTTTTTAATCCGAAGAAGGGAGGAGAGACCCTTCCCCCTTCAAGGTCCTACGATTTGAAGTTTGAGCTTAAAGAGGGGGCGAACCTTAAAGTCGCCTCCCTCTATGCTCAAGGAGAAGATCAGAGACGCGCGCTGAGAGACATACTAGATCGCGAAATCGCCGCTGCCGAATTCGGGCAAGTAACTCCGCCATACGCTCACCAATGTTATGATACCGAAGATGGCCGACGAACAGTGGCGAATGTCATCGACTATCGAAA